ACGCATCGTGTCAGGTCACATCCCCAGGGGAAACACACACGTTTGACCTTAATCACAGGCGATGAATTACCTCCCGGTTTTACTCTGCCTTTGATGCGTCGACTCCCCCACATAGACGCCTGCACAGACATGATCACAAATCTCCCGGAAAGTTATAAATCTGTCAGCAGATTGTTTGGTCTTTGTTAAACTTGACTTTTTTGGCATCTTAATCATTTTCCCATTTATCCATTTTCTCATGATGCAGTCTGATGTTCGTGGCGTATCTCGCTGTAAAACGCTCGGAGCCTTAATGCAGCTTTCTAGTTGCCTTTTAAACCATTCTAGCAGTCAGGCTGCATTATTTTAAAAAAATAAACCATGACCTTCTTTGTCTGTGTGTGTTTCAGAGACGTGTCCAACAACAGCATTGGATGTCTGAATGTAGACATCTTCAAGGGCCTCAGCAGTCTGATCAGACTGTAAGTCAGGAGGACTTTTAGGGACATAATATAATCATTTTTTGTGAGGGACTTGGATAAAAGATTGTTTTCATAGTTACTTGTTTTATTTCAGAAACCTTTCAGGGAACAAGTTCTCCTCACTGGCTCAGGGGACCTTTGACAGTTTGGTGTCTCTGAAGGCATTGTAAGTATGATGGCAAAATTAAGCTTCTTCATCACTTCCAATGATTATCTGTTGGTGCCCTGTCACTTTAACTTTCTTCCCCACGATGTGTGGGTGTGTGTTTCTGTTCACCTGCAGAGAGTTTCAGACCCCTTACCTGCTGTGTGACTGCAACCTTCTGTGGCTGCTGTCCTGGGTCAAAGAGAGGAACATCGCTGTCAAGAATACCAAGTGCTCCTACCCCCAGTCTCTCCAGGGCCAGCTCATTACCTCTCTCGGGCCAGAGCTCCTCACCTGCGGTAGATGCACACACCTGCCTGAGCTAAACAGAAACGAAAACTGACTAAATGCAGCACAAAGATAACACGAGGAATCATTTATCATTTCAGTGACACTATCTGATGTATCATTTGTCCAGTTTTGGACATTTTGAAAGTGTGAAATAAGTCATGTTGAGTGGTTACACAGACTATAATGCCAGAATGTTGCACTCTCGCTTTAATGTCTCTGTTTTGGCTTGTGTTTGTGGAACAGAGGCTTGTGCAATGACATGGCAGATAAGAGAAGGGCTGCTTGGGCCAGTGCTGCCTTTCTTTGTACTTGCTCATGTCTTATCAGTTTGGCACTCATCACAGTGAGGGATTATGAAATACATGGCATAGATATACCAAGAGCCAGTGGCCTGACATCAGTGGCAAAGAACTGTTAACCACCCAGAATTCAAGACACTGCTTTACTGTGTGCCTAAAAGTACCAACTGTGCAACACAACTGCACTGTATCCAGAATAAATGGATATGTGGAAAATTATTTGTGACGAATATGAAACAATAACTAACCTTTCTGGGAGGAATAGCTACCTGATTCTCTTCCTAATGTGCCTGCTTTCCTCAGATGCTCCTCTTGAGCTGCCATCCTTCCAGCTAACTCCATCGCAGCGTCAGGTCGTCTTCCAGGGGGATAGCCTGCCCTTCCAGTGCCAGGCCTCCTTTGTGGCCGAGGACATGCAGGTGCTGTGGTACCAGAATGGCCGCATGGTCAAGCCTGACGCTGCACAAGGCATCTTTATTGAAAAGCATGTGGTGCAGAACTGCTCCCTGATTGCTAGGTATGATGATATACATCTTAGAACCTTACATTTAACTAGAATCTAGTTCTGATTAGTGAGTGTAATGAAGACATTTTCTCCTCCATGTGATCCACTAGTGCGCTGACCATCTCAAACATCCAGCCTGGTTTTACTGGGAACTGGGAGTGTCGTGTCCGGACAAGCAGAGGCAACACCACCAGGACTGTCCACATTGTGGTGTTGGAGAGTTCTGCCAAGTACTGTGCTCCTGAACGTGTTTCCAACAACAAGGGAGAGTTCAGGTTAATTGACATCTAAAAACATACACCGAGCTACTCGTTTAGTTTTTCACCCACCTAAAAACCCAAATTTCATGTTGAATTAAACTAATAAAATCTTTTTTTTACTACGTACATTCATGACAATTCTTGTAAATACTTTCTATATTTAACTGTCTTGTTTTAATATGGTACACTGAGCATTTTCTAAACTAAAACAGTGATTTTCTTAATTCATAAATGCTGTCATCTGCCAAACTGTAGGTCCATGCTTATAAATTAAATACATTTTATCTGTATGAACCAATATTTATGTGAAAACCCTTTTTTCGCTGTGATGGTGCAGCTGTGCTGTTGTGCAAATGGCACCACCTTGTGGCAAAACATAGGAATTACCTCAGCCATGGTTTCAAACACTCGAGTTACTCTTTTGCTACTAATGTAACACACATTATGGCTGACATAACACCAACCAAAGAGAAAATAAGGACACTGCATGAACCAGTTACTCAAGAATGGAAACGGGAGGACTGACTTATTTTGCTTCCAGGTGGCCACGCACCCTGGCAGGGATCAGAGCCTACATCCCCTGCAACAGACTGCCATCAAGTGCAGGCACCTACTCGGGCAGCTCAGGCGAGGAGCAGAAGGCATGGCGCTACTGTGATCACGAGGGGCTATGGGCAGAGGAAGACTACTCCCGCTGCCAGTTCCATAAGGATGTCACAAGATTTCTCTATGTCATTAACCAGGTGTGTATCTGATGTTATTGACAGGAACTTTTATTGCTGTGATTTATATTCCAGCTTAGTTTCTTATCTTTTGCTCCTTTTTGATCAGAGGCTGTCCCAAGCTGCATGTCTGACCGTTCAAACCTAATTTTCTCTCTGGGTCTTTCTGCTAGATGCCTCTGAACGAGAGCAATGTGGTGCCCAGGGCTCGGCGCCTGCTGGTCTACACAATCAATGCTACTAACTTCTCGGACAAGATGGACATCATATTTGTGGCTGAGATGATTGAGAAATTTGGCAAGTTTGTTGACAAGTTTAAAGATGTAAGTACTGTAGTGGGCTTCCAACTCGCACCCAAACCAAAACTCAGTGAAATAAACTTTTTTTCCCCCAAGCCTAGCATCAGTGGCAGTGTGTGGTGCGTTCATTTGGTGTATCCCAAGACAACTAGATTAATGCTCAACAGCTGTTTGTTGTCATGTTGTTTAATGAGGAAGGATGTCTTGTTATGGCTTTCAGCACAGCTGCAGGCCAAGATTTTCACAGTACAGGAGCTGTAGCTGCAGTTATAAGTGCTTTAGGCAAGGAGCACTAGAGTTTCAAAGCATATTAAAGCGTAGTAGGGCAACACTGTGCTTGAAACATGTTTCTAATAGTCACTTAACTAGAACAAGAGTCAAGCATCTTTGTCAAGCACATGTTTAGTGCAGTTTGATACAAACAAGATGCACATTAACATTTCATATGTCTCCAGTCACATAATTTAGAGTATGTGCTGTTGAGTAGCTGCAAAGTCGATGCCTGTGGGTGACCTGAAGGGAAAAATTGCGTGTTCATTCACTCTTGTCAATCCCCTCTGTTGTCGTCCAGCTGGGAGAGGTGATGGTGAGTATGGCCAGTAACCTGATGCTGGCTGATGAGAGGGTGCTGTGGATGGCTCAGCGTGAAGCCATGGCCTGCTCCCGAATCATCGCCTGCCTCCAGAAGATTGCCGTCTACCACCTGGCAACAGCACAGGCCTTTTCCTTGGTTAGTCCCGTTAACCATATTATGTGGTGCTGTGCTGTACGGTGTTGAGAAGGAATTGTGTTAAAGTTTTCTTTTCCTCTTATCCTTCCAGACATCACCAAACATAGCACTGGAGGCCCACTCTGTCAGGGCCAACGACTGGAACGGTATGACCTGCATGTTGTTCCAGAGGCCTAGCCCTGAGCGCACACCTGGCCAGCTCACCTTCAAATGCAACGCCACCGGCTCCTTTTCCAGCATCCTTCACAAGGTCAGCTCCTACCAGACATAATCAGTTAGCAGTTTTGCTAGGAGGATGTTTTACTGTGGAGCGTGGATTTGATTGTAGCTTGTAAGCACATAAAACAAAAAGCTTGAGGATCAAAACACAACAATTCTGTTGTCAAAGAAAGAAATGGCTGGATTTTGAATTCATTCTGTCTTTTGTCCACATAGAGCACCATTGTGGAAGCTTCCCTGCAGCTTCCCCAGTCTCTCTTTACCCAGGCAGTGCTCCCAGGGCAGACGGAGGACACCGTCTACAAGCTCCACCTACTGGGCTTCCGCAACGGCAAGTTTTTTCTCTCCACTGGCAATTCATCACAGCTGGCTGATGGAGGGAAGAGGAGAAGTGTGGCTACCCCTGTCATCATGGCTAAGATAGGTGAGTCATATTTTAGTATCGCCCTAAGTGTTTAGTATGTGTTTTTTATGAGAAAGCAGAAACCTGAAACTGTTCTGACACACAACACTGACATACTGTGTCAGGAACCAAATGGAAGTTGAAATGAGAACTTGGCACTGTCTGTGTTGTCCATCAGATGGCATGGCCCTGCGTGTCCTGCGCACCCCTGTTAACATCACCCTACGGCGGCTCGCCCGTGGACTTCAGCCTGGTGGGAGGTCAGGGGGGATGGCAGAGCGACGGCTGCCGCATCCTGGGCCATCACGACAACTTCACCACTATATCCTGCAACTCTCTGGGAAACTATGGCCTGCTCATGGTAGGGCAGGGCATTTGAATGGCTCGTTTCATGGTCATGTGTTCACTGGGACATTTGGGGAGTAGTGAACTAGGAGCTGCAGTGTGAATTGTAATGATAATTACTCATTTAAGTGTCTGTTTTATTTTTTATTTTGAGAGCAAGCCACTGGCATCTACATTCATTCAGTTAATTATAACAAGCCTGTCGGCCCCCTAGTGGCCATTACGAAGTATAGCAACGTCTGCTAAAGTGTTGCGCACCTTGTGCATCTGTAGTTGGGTTTGGGTTTTGACATACAATGATGTGACATAATGATGTGACAAAGTGTAGACTCCACCTCATCTATCTTGCAGGACCTCAGCAGTGTGGAGTACTTTGCTCCAAGCATCCAACCTCTGCACCCAGTCATCTACGCCACAACGATTATTCTCCTCCTCTGTCTGTTCACTATTATTATCAGCTACATCTACTGTCACAGGTAATGGAGTCCCACTGCTATTGTCATTTATCTTTTGCTGGTTATTCATCTTCACTACAAAGCAGAAATCAGTTTTTTGCCCCTACAAACTAATTTTTTCCCATTGTTTGCCTAAGACTGTTAAATAATTAGTAATTAAGCATTAAGATCTCACACATCATAGTGATGTGGAAGCTTTACTGGCACTGGTCAGCAATAACTACACGTTGGTGGATGACCGGCACAAAATACACATAGGATAGCTTATTTATGATACTGTAGTGTCATGATCTGCAGAACAGAAGTCTTTCCATGTTCATGCTGTGATGTATTGTGTGTCTGTATGTCCCAGGTCTGTTCGTGTGAGCTCCAAGTTTTGGCACATGTTGATCAACCTCTGCTTCCATATCTCCCTCACCTGTGGGGTCTTTGTGGGTGGCATCAATCAGACGCGCTACGCAAGTGTCTGCCAAGCAGTGAGTATATACCACCTGCACCTGCTGTGTCTGCTTGTTTTCAAGGGGAAAAGCGTTGAAAAAGTTGGCAAAGTTAGAAAAAGATGGATTGAAAGTGCAGTAGATCATTACCACGGCTTAGAGGCGATTCGGCACCTCCCCTCATGGTGTATTGTATAGAGGAGAGTGACTGCTTTCATTTGCTGTAGTAACTGTCCTGTAACTGTGCAATCTCTTGTAGATGGGCATCTTACTGCACTATTCTACTCTGGCTACAGCTCTGTGGGTGGGCGTGACTGCACGCAACATCTACAAGCAGGTGACACGCAAGGCTAAACGATACGAAGAGCTAGACGAACCTCCTCCGCCACCACGGCCGATGCTGAGGTATGACACCACAGCTCTTGTGTTACAACAGAGAGAGTGGTGTTTGAATAAACAGTTGCATTTTGGTTGTATTTAACAGAAAGGATGAGGACGTCATTGAGCTTTCTCTTGTCATGTGTTCATGTTTGTTGGTGAAGCTGCCACATGGATTAACCACTACACTCTTGTGTCCCGGTCATTTGTAGAACCAAACCTTTCTGTGTTTTCTCCAAAAGGTTCTATTTAATCGGCGGAGGGATACCCATCATTGTTTGTGGGATCACTGCAGCAGCAAATATCAAAAACAACACCGCAGCAATGCGCCGTAGTAAGTAGTCCCTAAATAGAAACAATTAAAGTTCCTGTTCCTGAGTTTGTGCCGATGGGAATGCTGTCATTTCATCTGGACTAGAGTGTTTAATAAGGATGTGTCCAAACCCATGAGATCTTTTCCATTCTGTCCTCAGGAGGACTGGCCACACTGTGCCGCTTTAGCAAATACTGGATATTTTTGTGAGAGTAGGGAAACTTTATTCCCTGAAGTTCAGATTATTGAGGCCTATTAATGGTATGCACATCCGCGCAACTGCTGCCAATTTACAGTGAGCTCCACACCCCCCCTCCCCTGTCCACAGTGGCAGCTGTTCAGTTTGTACAGCGGCGCAGACTAATTGAGAAATCTGGACCCGTATCTGTTTCAAGTCTTTGGAGCTTAATTAATTTCTTGCAAGCGAGATGAATCCAACCTGTATTATTAGATGCAATGGGTGAGTTACTGGAAAAATTAGATGCAAAAGTTTTTCAGAACAGTTTTAAGATTGTGAAGTAAATAATGATGGTGACAGATTAAGATGAGAAAGTATTGTTTTAATGAGCACTGTTGGTAGGGTTACTGTTGGGAGGGGCTATGTAATTCCAAGTTGATGCAAAAGGTTGATCTTGAGAATCTTAAAAGTCACATGTGTTACACTACTGTAGCTGAAGTGTTTGTTTGCTCTTGTCTGTCTGTCTGTCTGTCTCTGTCCAGGCACACGATGGCATGGGAGCCCAGCATTGGAGCTTTTTATGGCCCAGTAGGATTCATCATCTTTGTGGACTGTATGTACTTCCTCAGCATCCTGCTCCAGTTGCGCCGCCACCCTGAGCGCTGTTACGAGTTCAAGGAGCCAAACGAAGAGCAGCAGCATTTGGCTTCAGCCAACACTGAGGCCCGGCCAGAGGGTCCCAGTGACCACTGCCATGCCCTCACCCTACATCTTCAGCCACACGAGGCAGCATCCTGTGTAGTGTCTGCTCCGCACACCGTGCCTCTGTCGGCCCTGGAGAATGAGCACACCTTCGCTGCCCAGCTGATGGGTGCAGCAGGGGCGTTAGGGCTATATGCGGCCCTCTGGGTGTTCGGGGCCATGGCTCTATCACAGGACCACCCCTACGACTTGGCTTTCACCTGCCTGTTTGGGGTGGCCGCGCTGGCGCTGGGGGCGTTCATGGTGGCACATCATTGTATCAACAGACAGGATATGAGGCGCTATTGGTCCCAGGCTTGTTGCTCTGGGAGACGAGCCTACTCTGCACAGGAGGATGTCCTTCTCCCTCAGTCAGGTGTGGCAATGACACCCACAGTGGGATCAGCTAACAAGACAGACGGGGAGTCAACAAGGTGTGGCCACAGCAGTGCAGACTCTTCCTACACAAATAAGAGCGTGCCAAGCATTCGCAACTCCGGCCATGGCAGCAAGCTGACCAATCTGCACGCAGAGGCAGCTCAGTGTAGGTCTGCCTCAGCACCGGTGACCGCCAATGGTGCAGCTGTTTTGGACAGCCTGACTGAGCATTCAGTAGACAATGAAATTAAAATGCATGTAGCGCCAGTTGAGCTGCAGTTTCGCCCAATGAACAACATCAGCAATCAAACAGCTGCCGCTAACGGACACGCGAGCAGGCATCACAAAAACAAATCGCGAGCACACAGAGCAAGTCGTCTCACAGTACTGAGAGAGTATGCCTATGATGTTCCCACCAGCGTGGAGGGTAGCGTGCAGAGCGCCCCCCACAGGCGGCACCACCATTATGACATAGCAGCACGCAGTAGCCGACGAGCAGCCTACATGGCCTACCGGGAGCGGCATCATAGCCAGCTGCAGCAGGACAGCAGCGATAGCACCAGCCTGCCACGGCGCTCCCGCTACTCAGATAAAGGAAGCGGCAGCACCCTGGGGAGTGGGGCAGTGGTGACTGTAGAGAATGAGCGGCTGGCTACTCCTGCATTGTCTAGCTCCACTAAAGACTCTGGTCCTGTAAAGCAGCCCAGCAGCACAGAACTAGAGAGCCAACCCAAGTCATATGGGCTCAACCTGGCCATTCAGAATGGTGGCACACTCAAAGAAAATGGACAAGCGGTGCCTTTAATTAACACAGAGTCTGCAGCCGGGATAAAGACTGGCTTGTGGAAACATGAAACTACTGTATAACTACAGTTTATGTTTGGCTCTTGTTTTGAAACTGTGAATTTCTTTAGTTTTCTTTTTTGTATTTAGATTGTGCCTTTTTTTCATGGAAACAAGTCCTTTGAAAGCAGTTATTGGACAAAAACAAGCCACATTACTGCCACTGAACTGTCCTGGTAGATATGCTTTAGTTAATGGTCTATAACTTTGAGTCCAACTCCTTTTCTCCATTTGAGAGCACACGAAGCTGCGTGGCCCGAGCTGTGGCCATGTTCCCAGATCTTGTTCCATTTTCAAGTTTGTTCCAATAATAAAACAAAGCTTTCGTTTACCTGACAAAGTTCCATTGTTGTGATAACATCCACAATTTCCTATGTTGGTTTTCTGAAGTCAGTGCGAAGGTGAGTCGGAGCTGTTTTGTTTCACAGATTTATTTTTCCTGACAGTATATGACAAGCTGGTAATTGTATTTTCCACTGACCCTCAGGTGGCCTCTGGCTCCATTCCCTGCAGTGGAGCAGCACTTTAATTGCAACTGGCTGTGGCTTTGGGCTCTGTAGGTGTTTTCCTCCTGCCTGCTGGCAGATTTGATGAGTGCACTGTACATTCTGGCTTCCGCTGACTTGATGCCGCGCTACAATTGACAACTGACTTGCGGGACAAGTAAAGCTGAGTAACAGGAGTGTATCCTCTTCCATTCTGTCTCCTCCACAGCCGAACTGTACAGCGTGACATCTCTTCTGGGAAAAGAGCACGCAACATACACAAAGAATGATTTGACTGTTGAGTACATTGGAGATTGATTAGCATCATTTGTTGCCGAAGCAACTGGATCAGGTCTCTGCTCTGTGATGCGTGTTGAAGGGTGGTGAAAGAAGTAAAAGTAGCAATATAATAATGTCATGCCATAAAGGATTTACAATATTTAAAACTACTGTAATAATAAAAGTCAGTCACAGGGGCCATCTTTCTTATTTTGATACTTGAAGTACATTGTGATGGTAAATGTTTGTGTCATTGCACATGATTTTAAATGAACTTGGATTTGTAGTGGAGCATTTTAGTGCATCATTCACCACTGATGGAAAATGTAGGGGAGTAAAAAGCTTTTTCCCCTTTGAAATGTGGTCGATGACTAAGTAACAAGTACCTGACGATGTTAATTACAAGTTAATTTCCACCTCTCATTTGGGATTTAACATAAACACTAACTGTGAAAGTTGGCTTGTAGCATTGTGTTCACTGTGAGAGCATTCTGCCATCTTATTTAATAAGACAAGCACTCCCTATTTTAAGTGACGTCATACTCCAGTCACCTTTACACCATGCCGCCAACTAACCACCTTCAAATCTTTTCATTATTCTTACTTACTGTAAGAAATGACAGGTAATAGTTGATCGTCCCAGTCCCAGAGGAAGCTGAGACAGCAGAGCGTCATCAGCTCAACTTTTTTTTAATTAATGACATATTAATAAAACAAATGTCACTGATTTAATGCCAAGCCATCTCAAATGTGACAAATAAGACTTGTGAATTATGTGGAGAGCAGTTATGCCCTGATTAGTGGCGGCCTCGCTGATTGCCTCTAGGCATGAAAGAGTGATCTTCAGATAATCACTGAGGTTCTTTAGTGCTCCCATCTGTTACCAAGTTCTTCTGAGGTTGTCACAGACGCAGGGATGACAACTGAAGTGTTTTCGTGCTGTGTGGGGAGAAGTCTCATCAAGGAAAGTAAACCGATCTGTCTCTGCTGTAAGATCACAGGGAAACCAACTGATAATAAATGACAAGTCATTTTTAGTTTAATTTGGGAGCATTGGGAGTCAGGTCATATGTCAGAAATGATCAATAAAAAGTGAACAAGAGGAGAGAGAACCCTGTTCAAACACCAAAAGCATCAGTTGCTTATAAACGGTCCGTTTTCACAGACAGTTGGGATCCCTCCATTATATGTTTCCTACTTTTTCCACCCAGTTTCCACTTAGTGCGCTCTGTGAAGTATGTCTGAAAACAATTCCTTACCAGGAGGCCCCGGGACGACCAACATCAGACAAGTGATGTGTTGTTTACATTTTCCAGTCGCTGCTTCTCTGCCTGGAGGAAGCATCTGGCTCTGGTGTGGAAAGATGCCACTGGAATGAAGATTGATATGTAGTAGAAAGTGAAGCCATCTGACTGTGCTGATTATAATTAGGTGGTTCTGGCTGTCCAGGGGAACCAGACTCTTTTTACCTGTAGTCTGCTAATCACCCAAAAACCTCAAAGGCCTGACACACACAGATGAAAGCAGTAATTATCATCCAGGGTTTCAGATGATCCCTGTCAAGCAGCTGGCTGCAGAGATAATTGCTGGATTTGTGAATTTTCTAAGTGTATGTATGTGGATTTTACTCAAGTATTATCAAATGACTCAAAGTTACATCGGTATGCAAGTTGTGTTTAAGCTAACATCAGGCCTTTTGCAATCACTTAGCACTTAGACATTTTACACAAATTACATAACTCCAACTTTATTACAGCAAATGCTCGCTGATAATTGCCCTTAATATTACAGGGATGCTCTGATATTTCTATATTATGTTAATACTTTAATATGAATACTTTGTTATACTAGTGTTCTCTGTAAATTAAAGGCATGTGACTTTCTGCAAATTAGCGTTTTGCACTGAATGAAATCATAAATAGAGGCACTTTTCTGCCCAAAGTGTACATGAAAATGGCAAATATTGATAGTAAATACAGATTATTCTAAAGAGAAGAGGGTTTCAGTTGATGTTTTCAGGGGGCCGACATGAGGCGTCTCGGCTTATCATCATTTGCTGTCCGGCTGGAAGAACACATTATATTTTGCTTTGTGAAAAAGGTCAAATCTGCAGCTTTGAGACTATCCAATGAGCTCTCAGCTTAGCTGTTTGACTTTTTGTCATTCTTTTTCTTTCCTTCCTTCTGTATCTACTAATCTTGGCCATACTGTGACCTCCCAGTTCAAGCTCACGTATGCAGACATGGTGAAGACAAACCCAGATGGAAAAATCAGCTACAATTTCCACCTCATTTCTGACTCTCTTCCAAGAGTAGCAAAGATTTCTGACTTAACCTGCAGAACTATTGGTATAACTGGTATGTGTTTAATGAAGATATTAGGCTCATTTTTAACTGAATAATATCAGTACATGCTTTGTATTTAAACAATTACATGAGTAAAATCAAGCTTCTCACACTGATATAATGCTGTTTTTTAAAAAAATATTTAACTTAGAATTTATCCAAAATCAAAATTAGGTTCAGTCACTCTCCCATTCCATTTTCCATCTCATTGTCTCACATTCACTGTCATATAATGATGACATCAAGCCATCTGCAGAGCTCTCAAGCCCGTGTGTTGGCAAAGCTGTGTTCTCATTAAGGCCCTCACGCTGCCATCCATCCACCTGTGCCCGTCTGTCTGAGCTGATTTTGGCTTCATCTTTGTCCAGGTGCACTGTTATTTATAGCCACCTGAAAAACTATATTGGATATTGTTCACTGTGACAGTTGCAGACAGTGGTTCTCAGACAGATACACACACACATATTGGAAATTGAAGGTTGCCTATTGGAATGCATTTATCACTTGTCTGCACGCTGTAGAGCTGAGAACGAGGCTTCTAGCACACATGGATTTCAAATATTGTGAAAAAAGTGATGTTTTTTTCTGACTTCTTTGTGTTGATGTTATTTGTGCTCCTTTTTCATACCAAAGTAAAATTTTAGATGGTCCACGAATACACCTCAACAACTAAACCTCAAAACTGCTGTTATTTTAGCTAACACAAAAAGCTTTGAACCAAATCAGGTCATTTGAGACTTGTAGGCAAAAATAAATTAAAGTTATCTTACATTATTGGATTTTTGAGCATCTTTTTTGATGAATCACTGTGTAACCTGGACGTTTATGAAGGTCAGGGACCGGGCACACACTTTCTATTGTATCAGCTTTATATGATTCATGTACATTTCAAAAATTAAATATGACTAAAAATATGAATTACACTGTTCATTACATTGTGGTTCTAAGTAGCTGCTCACTCAAACACACTCATCAGAACCAATTTAGGATGAGGCTCCTGTTTTGGAGAGGTGTCAGCGATTCTAATTCCAGTTGCGTAAATGGCCTCTTGTTTCATGATTTGTCTGAAGACGTCTGTTCAGCTGAACTGAGTGCATATTTTACAGCGTGACAGAAAGCCCGACCCTTTGTGGTATTCTTGGAACACAGTTAAACAGTCATTTGCAAACTCTCTCTTTTTGCTGCCATGAAACAAGATGTGCTGTGTTGTTAAAAATGTTCTCATCTTAAAAACAGATGACTGTTGTCTTGGCTCGCTAAGAAGCAATTTGGTTTATTCTGGGTTCATCTGTTATTTTCATTCTGGGCTTGTATTAACACCCTGTACTGTCCAACAACTGATGTACTGTTTATCCTGCAGTATATTGAAGGCGTGTGTGTGATGTGTGTATATTTGTTTGCAGAGTCCCATTTTATTTCTAATCATGCAGCATCCCTAAGTGTTTTGACTTGAGTTCTATAACTGTCTAAACTGTTTGTGATGACTGTTTGTGGCTCCTGGTGGTCCCTGAGCCACGCTTTGCGAACCATTAATGCAGGGCATGCTGAACTAACCACATACTGGCAGACACAGCTTAAACTTAGCTTATGCCAGCAGGTGGAAAAGCTTCACTGAGAGCTTGGGTTTGCTGTGTGTGTAGTGTGCTGCTCTGAGATAGTGAGGGACAATGATTTGACCATCTGCTATGAAGTATTTGGACACCAGAACATGTTGCAGAGCATTAAGAGGTCTCAGCTACTTGGCTTTTCACATGTTTGTGGCACCTGGCTGCAGGTGAATGATGCTCCCATTAAAACAGGAGAGGTTGGGCAATGAGAAAGTTATTCTTTGTCTCTCTGCAGTGGTCTTTCTGATTGTTTTGTGTCTCTTTTTGGTAGTTCTGTGTCTCTTTGCAGTCCCTTTGTTTCTCTATATGGTCATTTTTGTCTCTGTAGATATTTGGGTCCCTTCAGGATGGTTTTGCATCTTTATGGTAATTTTGTAACTATGTTGAGTCTATGTTTTGCATGTATTTGTCGACTTTTAATTGTTTTATGATGTTCAAACAAGAAACCTCTTGGGGTCCTGGAGTAGGTCCATTTAGCAACCCATCCATGAGTCCAGGTCTGCCCAAAACTCCAAAACCAGAGGATGCAAAATTGCAAGCATGTAAAAAGGAAATCTTCAAATTTGCCAAGTTGGAAACAGGAAGTTGGAAAAATAGACTTTTACTAGTTGATAAAACCTAAATCAACTATCTAACCTGCCAGTCCACGGACTGACCAGTGGTTTTCAGCTAAACATGAAAGCAAAGCATGAAGCATTAACACATAAATGCATTGTTGCACCGTGCAGACACGAATCAACATTACCACTAGTCACCAGCTTATGCTCGCTCCCGCCGAGAGGAGGGTGCACAAGCAGCGTCTGTCTCTGCCAAACTTGGGAGTTGAATGAGCAGCAACTAGTACCCGCAGTGTGCAGGTCCTAACGAGCTCCTGTGAGCGGAGCCAGGCTCTTAAAACCAAATTAAGTCCGTAAATGGAAACAGCTATGGAAAGGAGGAGAGTGGAGACCGTTTCTTCACCCGGTAGGACACGGGGGTCACATGTTTTGGATGATTTGGGGGTTTGTTGTCTTTGGTCTTGCATGGACAACTCTTAGCATAACAGTTACAATTTCTTGTTGACTTTCTGAACGAGCAACCTGGCACAATATAACTTACATTCTGTGCGATTACATTTGGCCATTCTTTATTTGGCTCCGGACGTAAATGAATACAGTAACAAACACGTTGTGTTTCACTCTGTCGCTTAACATTCACGCCACATAAAAATGATTGTCCATTGCAGGCATTTGATTCGGTTGAAAAAGTTTCAATTTTATCTTTGCCTACTTTATGTACAACGTCGATTTATCTTTATAGTGAGGATTTGTTGAAAGGCAACATTAAATTGTATATTTTAGACGCTGTTTTCTCTTGCATGCATCTGCAGAGCGTTTCTGTCACTTCAGTATGAGACAGCTGTAGAGTCATGTCTGGACTTTTGCCTTCTCTTGAAAGGAAAATGTATTTGGCAGCGCTTCATTGTTGCCCTTTGCACCTGCATGGATGGAGTAGCACAGGTCGTCTCCAGGGCAGTGCCTGTTGTCAGTGGGCTTCTCCTCTGTGCAGTTAAATGCTCAGGTTAATGCTTGTTTGCCCACCAAACGGACTTCTAATCAGCCTTTGTTAAGGATATGTGTCACACCTGCAAGATTTTAAACAGAGGAGCTGCTGTTCTTCTCAAACTTAATACTAAAGCAAATGGGTTATTCAGTTGTGTGTCTGGATGTGTGATTGTCCATTAAGAGCATTAAGTATGGGAAACAATAGTGTAATCAGCTGCTTATTATGGATTGTTTAAAAAAAAGACGAGTTGGCATTGACAAATGTCTTTGAAGAAGCTGAAGACGCCACATCATGACATGGGCACAGAGGACAACATGTTCTGTTTTAGAGCAGAGTAAGTCATTAGTTGTGGTGAAGATGTCGATGTTAGTCTGTTTTTCCCTTTTGAGTGCTAGGAAACTGAAGCACTGAAAGATATTGATTGCTGCTCTCCTCCCAAAAGTAGGTTATATAAAAATATGGATGTCTCATAACTTGTACTGAATGCTGAAAAGTTTTGGAATTCACTAGTTTGTCTCTAGCAGCAGGTCACTCACTGTCTCCCTTATTTCTGTAACTGACAACCTGAATAAGTGTCTCCTTATTCAGGTGGCTGAAATTTTTGCTGATCCAGGGAACTAGAGGCAGCATTAGTCTCTAGCTTGTGTTGCTCAGCAATTACAGATTCTTGTGGAGAGTATAAAAAAATCACTAACTTGTGCTAAATGCTTTTCTGTATGTGCTTATTTTGCTCAGCTTATTATTTTCTGTCCCCTGTGGACCAGCACATCATGGTCCCTCCCCAGGGAAATCTTAAAATGTAACAGTCGCCCACAAAAATGCTGCAGCCGCTGATCCGTGAGTTGATCCTCCCAGGAGCTGCGTCCTTGGCGCGGTGATTCTTTGCATCGGTGCCTCGGAGCTCTCTCTGATCACCAGGGCAAGTTCTGTGGTGCCTGCCAGCAGTTCCCTAGAAGTTTCTCGCCTTTAGTAGCATTTCTCTGAGTTTCAGAAACATGCTACATGAAAGGCAGCCCCCCCCCCCCCAGGTTTATTGTTCCCATTGAGCTGTTCAGCACCACGGCTAGCTCCAGCTTGTGCACCTAAATAGTTGGGAACAAAGTGTGTCCGTTGTGGGCTTTTGGTGATGTCGTGACTGATCATAATGAATTCTGCT